AGCATGCAATATAAATGACTATGATACAGCAAAGCCATCTCAACTTAATAGGCAGAAGCCAAACTCTGGCTGCCCATCTTCCTCACCTTCACACACCCCAAAACAAACAAAATCCGGTCTTCCAATGCTCCCTATCTCAGTGAAGGGCACAACATATAAAGTTGTGCAAATCAGAAATCTTTGATACCTCTCCTCTCCCACACTTCGCATATCTAATTCGTTCCTAAGTCATGTGAATTTTTACCTCTTAAATATTTCCAGAATCTGTCCATTTCTCTCAATCTCTGCTGTGGCTCCTGCCCACCTCTCAGTCTCATTCCACTCCATTTTCTCCCCCATTCTTTGTGCTCTGGCCACACTGGCTTCTTTAGTTCCCTGACCATGACACGCCTCCTCCTGCCACAGCATCACTGCCATGTGGTTCCATCTGCCAGCATACCCCCAAATGCCTCTGGTATCACTTTCTTGGGGAATTTCTCCCTGACTCAACTCCCAGGCTAGATTCTCATAAACAGCATTCCTTTCCTTCAGGGAGATTAGCTCAGTTTTTAAGCAAACATTTTTGGTTCAATTATTTGAATTTTCTGCCCATTTCCCTCACTAGACTGTGGAATTTGTGATAGAGAGCCCACATCTGGTTCCACTCACCACTGTATACTCAGCAAAGTGCCTGGTATATAGCAAACACTCAATAAATATTTATTGTGTACGAATGATAAGTGAAATAAGCCAGTTCAAAGTGCTAATACATTTGATCATTTCTTCTCCCCCCCCACGAAACTATACATTTTTTGTGGGGGATAATCACATCTCTCTGTTGTCCATTTTATCCTCAATACCTAGAACCTGGAACTCTGTAAATATGTGCTGAATGAAGGAATGACTGAGGAGTTAAGCCTTGAGGTTAAGCAGGATATCACAAAAATAGTGAGAAAGACATTTCTGACTAAGGGAACAGCAAAAGCAGCCATGGTATGGGGGTCAAGAAGCGGCCAGTTAAAGAGTGTGATGCGCAGGGTGCGTGGGAGCATAGCTGGAGGTCGGAATGGGGTTAGGCTGTAGTATTTAAGTAGATGGTTCTCAATGATGACCCTAAGAAATATAAATTAGAAGGAAAAACCTAGAAATGGGAGAAGAGTAGACAGAGGCAGGCAGGCAGGCAGGCAGGCAAAAAGGGGGGGGGGGG